CAAAAATCACTCCAAAATCCAGAATTCCACCCTGGGGCCGAGCACCTCTGGGAGGTACCCCAAAAATACCCCAAATCACCCCAAAAACACCCCCCTAAAACATCGCAAAAATACCCCCAAATAACCCCAAAAATACCCCAAAAATTCCCCCCAAATCCACTCAAAAATCATTCCAAAATCCAGGATGCCCCTCCATGGCTTGGCACCTCTGGGAGGTACCCCAAAAATACCCCAAATCCACCCAAAAATACCCCAAAAATACCCCCAAATCTCCCCAAAAACACCCCCCTAAAACACTGTAAAAATCCCCCCAAATCTCCCCAAAAATACCCCAAAAATTCCCCCCAAATCCACTCAAAAATCATCCCAAAATCCAGGATGCCCCCCCATGGCCGGGCACCTCTGGGAGGTACCCCAAAAATACCTCAAAATCAACCCAAAAAATCCCGCAAAAAATCTCTCAGAATTCCTCCAAAAATCCTCCCAAAAACACCCCCACAATTTCTCCAAAAATCCCATCAAATTCCTCTCAAAATCACCCCAAAATCCCTCTGAAAGTCCTCCCTGAATTGCCCCCCAAAATCACCCCAAAAATCCCCCCCAAATCTCCCCCAAAAGTCCACCCAAAAATGGCTCCTGAGACGCCCTCAAAATCATCCAAAAATGTGAGGGGGAAAAAAGAGTAGGAAATGTGAGGGGAGAAAAAGGTGGGAAAACGTGAAGGAGGAAAAAAGGGCAGAAAACGTGAGGAGAAAAAAGGGCAGAAAACGTGAGGGGAAAAAAGGGCAGAAAATGTGAGGACGGAAAAAATGGTGGAAAACGTGAGGGGAAAAAAGGGCAGAAAACTTGAGGGGAAAAAAGGGCAGAAAACGTGAGGAGGGAAAAAATGGTGGAAAACGTGAGGAGGGAAAAAATGGTGGAAAACGTGAGGGGAAAAAAGGGCAGAAAACTTGAGGGGAAAAAAAGGGCAGAAAATGTGAGGAGGGAAAAAATGGCAGAAAACGTGAGGGGAAAAAAGGGCAGAAAATGTGAGGGGGGAAAGAGGCAGAAAATGTGAGGGGGGAAAAAGGTGGGAAACATGAAGGGGGAAAAAGGGTGGAAAAATGTGAGGGGGAGAAAAAGGTGGGAATTTTGAGGGGGAAAAAGGGGTGGGAAAACGTGAGGGTAGAAAAAAGCGGGAAATATAAGGGGAGGAAAAGGGCTGGAAACATGAAGGGGAAAATGAGGGGGGAAATGTGAGGGGAGAAAAGGGCGGGAAAACGTGAGGGAAAAAAGGGTGGGAAATGGGGAAAAAAAGGGTGGGAAAATGTGAGGGGGAAAAGAGCAGAAAACGTGAGGGGAGAAAAAGGCAGGAGAATGTGAGTGGGGAAAAAATGGTGGGAAACGTGAAGGGAAAAAAGGGTGGAAAATGTGAGGGGAGAAAAGGGCGGAAAACGGGAGGGGAAAAAATGGTGGGAAACGTGAGGGAAAAAAGGCGGGAAAATGTAAGGGGGGAAAAAAAGGTGGAAAATGTGAGGGGAGAAAGTGAGAAATGTGAGGGGGAAAAAGGGTAAGAAACATGAGGGGGGAAAAATGGGCAGAATATGTGAGGGGGAAAAAGGTGGGAAATGTGAGGGGAGAGAAAAAGGAAAATGTGAGGGGGGAAAAAGGGCAGGAAACGTGATGGGAAAAAGGGTGGAAAACATGAGGGGGGAAATGGTGGGAAATGTGAGAGGAGAAAAGAACGGGAAATTTGAGGGGAGAAAAGGGTGGGAAACGAGGGGAAAAAGAGGAGGAAACTTGAGGGGAAAATGGTGGGAAACGTGAGGGGGAGAAAAAAGCAGGGAAATGTGAGGGGAGAAAAGGACAGGAAAGGTGAGGAGGGAAAAAAGTGGGAAACGTGAGGGGAAAAAAGGGCAGAAAACGTGATGGGGGGAAAAAGGATGGGAAAATGTGAGGGGGAAAAAGGTGGGAGATGTGAGGGGGAGATAAAGGCAGGGAAATGTGAGGAGAGAAAAGGACAGGAAAGGTGAGGAGAGAAAAAAGCAGGAAAATGTGAGGGGGGAAAAGGATGGGAAACATGAGGGGGAAAAGGGCAGGAAATATGAGGAGGGAAAAAAGTGGGAAACGTGAGGGGAAAAAAGGTGGAAGATGTGAGGGGGGAAAAAGGATGGGAAAATGTGAGGGGGAAAAAGGTGGGAAAAGTGAGGGGGAGAAAAAGGCAGGAAAATGTGAGGAGGGAAAAAGGGTGGGAAATGTGAAAGGAAAAAAGGGCAGAAAACGTGAGGGGAAGAAAATGGCAGGAAAATGTGAGGGGTGAAAAAAAGGGTGGGAAATGTGAGGGGAAAAAAGAGCAGGAAAACATGACGGGGGGGAAAAAGGGCAGGAAAAAAACGTGAAGGGAAAAAAGGGCAGGAAAACGTGAGGGGGAAAAGGGTGGGAAATATGAGGGGGAAAAAGGGCGGGAAACGTGAGGGGAGCAAATGGTGGAAAACGTGAGGGGAAAAAGAATGGGAAACGTGAGGGGAGAGAAAGTGTGGGAAAATGAGGGGGGAAATTTTGGGAGGGGTGAATTGGGGAGGATTCCTAATTTTGGGACCCCCTCCCCTGATTTTTTCCCCTCAGTTCGCGCTGGCTCTGGACCGATCCCTGGGCTACGACGAGAACGGGAATTGCCCCGGGATGGGGCAGGACAGCGACCCCGAGACACCCCAGGAGCTGCACTGGGAGCTGCCCCCGCAGGTACTGGGAGCACTGGGAGCAC